GCAGACATAAGTTTTCAGCTTCTTTGGATAAATATTAAAGAGCATGATCACTGGATCATTTGATAAGAGTACATTTAGTTTTGTAAGAAACTACCAAACTGTCTTCCAAAGTGGCTGTACCATTTTGCATTCACACCAGCGATGTAGGAGAGAGTTCTGTTGCTCCACATCCTCACCAGCTTTTGGTGTTATCGGTATGATCATGTGTCTTTTGAATCTCTTTCTTAGCTCACTCATTTGTTTTGCCGGAGAACACCCTCAAATATGTTTTTGTTCCTCAAATATGTTTTAAAGGGCATACAAAAGGTAAACTCTCTAGATCTTTTTTTATGACTGAAAATGTCTTTTTTGTACCCTTACATTTAATTGATACATTGACTAAGTATAGAATTCTAAGATAAAATTATCTTTTCCTCTGGGGTTTGCAGGTGTTTTTTTTCCATTTTCTTTTAGCACTAATGTTTTTGAGAAGCCTGATGCCACACTGATTTTTATTTTTCTGTAAGTGACCTGTTTTTTTTTTCTCTCTCAAAGGGCATTTAAAATCTCGTTTTTATCTCTGTGCTTTGAAATTTCACAATAATGTGCCGTTTGCTCTGGGCAGGAACGGGTTCGAAATTTGCTTGGCAGAAAAGAGAGGGAAGGTTTTCCAGGGCAATAACTGGCACAAAGGTACAGAGATGGGAATTAACGAGCAGTGTTGGGAGATTTGAGTCAGCTCTCAAACCCAGTTCTTGCACTTACCAACATGAATTGTGTAATGCAGGTTATAGAACCTCTCTAAGTTTTTGTCCTATATTGTAAATTAAGGATGTTGACACTTGACTTCCCAGGGTTGTTCAGAGGATAAAATTAAATAATATAAAAATAAAATTACAGAAAAAATTATCTTCTAACAGGTATGAGAACTCATTGAAGGGAAAATAGATCCACCTCTGTTTTAATCTTATCAGAATGCTTTGATAAAGCATTCAGGTGTGTAGAGGTGGTCTCCAGGGATTGAATATTGAACAGGTTGTTCAGATAACCTGATGAAGAGAAATATTTCTTGTTATAATAAATGGGAATAGTCAAAGAGAGGAAACAGGGAACTTGGAAAAAAATACCAGTGGGTTGGGCCACACGTGTTCTCCTCTCTTCCTTTGATTTTAGTTGAGCTAAAGAAGGCCTTTGGAGACAACATAAATGTCTAATGGGAATAGATACTGTTCGCTGTCTGCTGGGAGAAATAAACCCTTTTTTCTATCCCTTTTATGAAATTATACTGCAATTCTACACTCTTCAATAATAATTTTATGGGAGTTGAGTTTTGTGGAGGGCAATTCAAAGAGATGGATGAAGCAGATAGTATTGAACAATGTGGAAAACACTTAGCATACTGGTCAGCACACTGTAAGAGCCAAATCTTGTTACTTTTTATTCATATTATTATTCTTAATATTACAGTCATGAGGTGGAACTGTCACAATATGTACCCTGACAGTGTAATAGGAAAACTTTGCCTTGAAATCCTTCAACTATTTTATATGTATGCATCTCTATTTCATATTGACTATTCCTAAAACTGAAACTGAAATAGAATTTTGTCATGTTTATATTTTTATATGTGTTCAATCTTAATTTGAAATATGAAGACAGAATTAGAAAGAGTCATGGGACAGTAGAAATGCCTCTTCTGCTGCTGTTGCTTTTCAAAAGAGTAGATGATATGCAGAAATGAAGAGTTTTTTTTACAAGGACAACATTGTATTACTGAGAATATTTATCTGACATTTTTTAAGCAATATTTTTCTACCTTCATGCAGCCACTCCAACTTCTAGGAGCTTCATCACCATTGCTTATGATTCCACAACTCTCTCTCATTTATAATCTCAGATTCTCTGCCAAACTAAATAATCAAAATCAAGTTATAAAATGCCTTACTCATCACCGACGCATTGATGAACAACTAAGAAGTAACCACCTGACTTTTCAAAGAAGCTCTCAAAGAGAGCCTGAAAGTTGGTTCAAGTCTTCAGATTGCTGAAACTTACTACTTTCTAAAGTCTTTGGAATCTGCTACTTACTCAGTGTTGTTTTCTACTAGACAACAGGATCTCAAAAAAATAAAAATACAAGAGTGTGGAATGTGTGGAACAGGCATCTGAATCATTACTCCAGGCCTGGTGAGGCCCCTTTAACCAGGTTTATCCCACATGGGCAATCCGAACCTGAAGTTACACTTAAGTCTCTACACCTGGACTTTCTGTGATTACCACAGAAACAATTCACCTGGACTGGAATTATTCTCAACCTTAATGGAGTAGTTTTTTTTTCTGCTCAAATATAAAAGACGTGTAATTTTATAATGAAATAACATATGCAGAGAGCCTGGATATATAACAGACACTTCATGAATGCTGGCTTCCTCCATGTTATCTCCCCTGAATAAGAAAGAGTCATGAGGAAAATATAGCCAATTGTTTCTCATTTCCTTAAACAACAGACCAAAGAGATGAGATGTAATTTTTTTTTTTAATAGAAATAATGTTAAGTGAAAGAAAGAGTTGTGTATTTTGACCATGAGACTGATTAAACAACCAAGATGTCGGGTTATAAATATTTGTAACAATAGAACTGGCTGTCATTCTGCATAGAAACTGAAAACTGGAACCCCCTATTAGTCAGTAACGTGAATTAAATGTCTCATCCTGTCAGGAGCGCTGAATGAGATACTATGCTGTTTTGGAAGGCATACTAACTTGTGATTTCTTTCAAAAAAGGATTACCAATATAAAGATAGCCATGATCAAAATTCAAATACCTAAAAAACACGAAGAGCAAACAAAATCTCATACACAGTAATTCATGCTATTTTGGCTATGCTTGTCATAAAATGATGCTAACCGTATGTAAGTGACTGTAATGATATATTTCTTCTGAAATCTTAACACTAATAATTTGATAAGAATGATCTTATTTTCCAGCATGTCCTAATACTCTTGTACCCTCTAAAGGGTTTAGTCCAGCAACTGTGAATCGGCCTTCTTACTTCTGCTGCTAATGTTCTATTTGAATCTAAGTTTATGATATAAGTAATATGTGATAGCTGCTTCCCTGGTACTCATTTAAAAGTTACACTTTTGTGTAAAAAGATTCATCTTCATGTTCAGCGTTTAAAAAAACAGTGCCATTTTGCTTAGTCTCCTATTTCGGCATCTATATCACTATTGTATGTGCTTGTTAAATTTCTCTTTCCTACTTGACTATAATTCTTTGAGGGCAGAGATTGTGCACTATCTATTTTTTAAAAGTTCCTGGTACAGTTTCTAAAGCATGGTAGGAGCTCAATCAATTTTGTGAAATGAATAAATGAATGAATGATGCCTTATTAGATATTGTACAAAGCTAGGATTCAGAGGAGTTTAAAATCAATAGCATATGGTACAGTGTAATCTAAAGTCAAATTATTGAGAGAGAAAATCTGGTAGAGATCTTTTTCAATCTACATATATAGATGCATTCTTACATCTTAACTATTTAGTTATCAATTCTCCAGTTCATAAGATAACAAAAATAAAATAAAATAAAAATAAAAAAATAAAATAGAATAAAATAGAATGACATAAATTACATAACCAGAGAGTAAGGGGCTGGTTTAGCCTACTGGCTTTTTACAGGTGTAATTGATTTTTACAGTAAAGAAAGAAACACTGAATCTTCCCAGAATAACCTGATTCTAACAGAGTTAAATAAAGTTGTTCATTTTTCCACATTTTTGACATACTTCTGTCTTTCTAGACTGTGAAGTAAACCTCTGTTTCCCAAAAGCCCCAGTACTGATTTTAATGATACTGTCCACGTGACATACATTTTTTTTGGTTTCATCACTATTAGTGAATGACAAGTGAAGGATATTCATTTTAACTTGAAAATGTCAGATATGCACTTTAAGAGATATATTTTTGCAGCTTTTAATGAGGTGGTGTTTCTTTTTGAAAGAAATACTCATCTCTGATGCGGGTGCTATGCAGGTGACAACTGATATTTAATAAGCGATGGTTCTTGTATTAGTCGCAGTTCTCTAAAGAAAATGTCTCAGATTGCTTTTGAAAAACTCTTAGCATCACTAGCCCAAAGGCAAGATGTGACCTTTTTATTACATAATGAGAATCATTTATTATCTTACAATGTATCTTAAAGTCACAGACAAAATGCCACTTTGATAATTGCTTTCAATTAGCTTTGAGCATAGCATATATTCACAAAATGTCTTCTCTAATTTAGACTTGAATTAGAGAAAATTGCAGACATAATCTACTTTAAGCTTGTCTCATTTAAGGTGATTCGTAGTTTTATATCAAAGAAATCAAAACGAGTAGCTTTAGAACAGTCTCTCAAAGTGTTTTAAGCAGGCTTTTCAATATTTGATTCTATTCTATTACCAATTAATTAACAAATTAGAAAACTGGTTCATCATTCCTGACCTTTTATACATGTTAACGTGTGACTTTCAATTCTAATTATTGTTTTGAAATTAAGCCTTACAATTCGTGTTGAAAGAAAGAAACAATCTGATTAGCAAGATAAATAAGGCTTGCCTTGATACCAAGTGCATCTCTATGTTTGGCTATAACTAGAATTCTGAATACTATAATGGTGTATCCTTCCCTGCCTTAAATAAATGATACATAACTAATGGTTGATAAATTATACTAGATAATAATGTAACCTAAACAAGGAGTTTGGGGTTATTACTACAAGTGAGGTTAGAGGTAACATGATGATTAAATTGTGATTTCAGTTATTTTTTATATTCTGTTAGTACACTGAGTATTAGAATATGGTTTAAATGCACATCTTTATCTATCTTAAAAATATTTTGAAAGAATAGAAACTCTGAAACTACATTTTATACTGTGGTATTTCAATAACTCATGGAATATTATTAACCTAACAGAGATTCTCAGAAATTGGGATTAAATCTGGAAGTTACTCTCTTTCTCTTTTTTCTCCCTAGATAAAAATTACACACAAGAACCAAGCTCCAATGCTGATGGGCCCTCCTCCAAAAACTGGGTTGTTCTGCTCCTTCGTCAAAAGAACAAGAAACCGAAGCAAGGAGTAATTCTGTATCATTTCATTCTTAGAGATCTAATTAGCATAATTGGGCCATGAAACACTTATGCTGGAAATCTTTGAATCATTTCAAGTCTCCTGCTCATGTAAATCATAGAATTGGTTTAACAGTTTCTGTTACTAAGTTAATTGAAAATTCATCTATTAGAAAATTTATTGTCAGTTTTTATAGGCATCTTTGCATGAAGAGAGCAGAAGTTTACATGAAGTGATACTGCATATTTTTGTTGCATGCATTCCCATTGATTTTTATGTCTCCCACCCATTTCTCCCTCAATTTCTGTTTCTTAACTTGTGAAACATAAAAAAGGAAATACCACGGCAATGTGATTCTCAGTGTGATTCCATTATCAATAAGCACTAATCAGTAATCACAGATTGCTGTGCTTTTTCCTTTTAGAATCAGTGTATCAATAGTCTTTGACCTATGACTTGAGGAGAAACTTTTCTTTGAAAGAATTTATTAAATAGTTGTATATGGTACCTTGCTGTTTCCAAATAGTTTTTCATTGACATCTTAACGCTTCTGAGTGGAATTTGAATATCAGGTATAAAGTTTTCTTGTGCTGAAAAATAGAAAGTGGTTTTTATTTTGTTTAGTTTTGTTTTTAATTCTGGAAATAAGTGAAAACATGTTACTTGGCAGTAAAGTGTGGTACTATGACCAGCCTTATTCCTTTCTGCATGTGAATCTAGAAGAATATTCATAACCACACCAGTAACCAAATAGATGTTTTAAACTATGTGCCTAATTAACTGTGTTTCCCACCAAAGATTCAGGAAAAAAAAAAAATGCTTGAGAGAAATGTTTTAATGCATAATTAATTGTGGAGAAAATTTATGATTCTTATGATTAATTTTGTGATGACTAAAACTCTGGAAGAGAGTGAATTACCCATTAATTATAATTAAAATTCTCACCTTTCATAGACAATAGGCCATACAACACAATCACAGTTCAATATTATTAACCTAACAGAAGTTATATATAAAGAGCTGATTTCTTGCTTTTTTTGGTCTTTTATAAATATAAGTGTCTGTATTTTTAATGGATTAGTTAAGTATACTGAGAAAGTAAATGCTTGTGTCAGTTCCTTTCTAAAATAAATTGATACCTGTAATAATATTGAGCTCATTGAAGCAAAGCATGCATGCAATTAGCCCCCTCATCTACTCCACTGCCATCTCTATGACATTCTGAATGTTTATTTGGGAATAATGGCTAGACCATTGTTTAAGGTGCTCATGACATGGTTGGATTCTCTGATTGTTTAAAGAAATCATGGAATAGTACATTTCTTAATATTTCATTTAACCTATGATATAAAATGAAATGCTATTCTGAGCAGATTTGGTATTGTTTATTCATATTGACCTGCATTTCATCATTGCATGTTTTATGTTTTCAAACATGCCATAAGGAAAACAAGTGCTTGAAATGCATGATTTATTAGTTTCTCTCTCCACTCTGCATTAAAGTACTAATGATTTATCAGCTCTGTTTTTTTGTTGATTCATTCATCTTTGAATAACAATTAGCATTTAGTGATTCTGTTGAACACAATTCTGTGCATGGATTTATGAATTTCAAGTGAAATTGCTGTAGTTTTTGTTCTTTGGTTTGAAACTCGACTAAATGCTGTTATATCAAATAGTTACTCTCAAGTAATGTGATATAATGGAAGACTATGTATAAGCATATTATTTTAGTGTTCCAGGAACATTAGATGGTAAATACCAATCAACAATAAGTTTAATTGCTTTGAAAATAAAAGCTTTTGAATAAAATTAAGACATTATTTAGCATTCCCAGGAAAATTATTATTACAATTACAAATGTAGCACAGCAATCACTTGCCCCAGTATAATTTAAAAACTGGTATTTGGCAGAACAGTAATCTAGACCAAAAGAAATCTCAAAAGTAACAAATGCATTAGTGATATAATGTTACATAACATACACATTTTTGTGTGTATCTATGGTTACAGGTAATAAATATTTTCACATAAAGTGACAAAATTTTCTACAATGGGCAGGCAGGCTTTGTGTCAAAAACATATTCTGAAGCCATAAACGTTCAGTATAACATACAATTATTTCTTGGCTACCTTTTAGAGTATATAGTTTGAAGGCAGCAACAGTTTGTGAATCATTCTTAACAATCTGTGCAGTGGAAAGCTGTTGAATAGACAGTGGAATGAGACAAATTAAACAGCCTGCCTATAAGACTTCCATAATTTAAATAACAAGATGCAGCTTTACTTCAATATAGCTATATAACTAGAATTACTGATAACAGCAGTTATATTTTCAGTCAATTGGAGTCATTGGTACCAATAATAAATGTTCAAATAAAGATGAAATTTTACTTTTCCCAATTTGTTCTAAAGATACTGATGTGCTTGCCCTTCAAGTACACTACTCCTGGGGTTTGAAAAGTAGTTTATAAAACCCTACTCCGATGGCTTCGAAAGCAGAGAAGATATCTTTTTCATGTTTATGACAGCTTCAACTGAAGAATATTTATTTTTAAAAAATTTCTAAACTGAAAGTTCTAGGGTATATTAAAATATTGAATAACAAATGTTAGCTTTACAAGACAGAACTTTTTCTTATATGTGTGTGGGTGAGTGAGTTGTTGAGTCAACCTCTTAAATATAGTAGACATAATGGTATCAAGTTTTAAGTGGATGCAGCTCTTAAGTAAAAATTAATACTGAGTTTGCAGGTGTAAGAGGAAAAGGAAAAAATAGATGTGCACTTTGCTAAACGTTGCCACACACTTAGTTGATAAACAGAGAAAGAGATTCCAGAATAAACTGGATATCCATGCTTCTAATAGTATTGGAGGTATCTATGTGAAACCACAAATTTTAAAGGATGTATTTTTCCACTTACATTTATATACCAGGTGTATTTGATTCAAACAGTGCATGTCAATTTATTATGGAGGAAGAAGATATATGGTAGGAAGAGAAAAATAACTTTTAAAACAGTTTATTTTTAATTTTTAAACAGGTTATGTGATTATAGCTGGGAGAAAGCAAAAGGCTCAGATGTTTAGTTTAGTCTACTATTGGCAGAAATTTAAATCCAATGAGAATTAATGAATCAGATATATGTTTCTGCATTTTGGATTTGTTTTCTTTTCCTTTTTTAGGCTCATGGAAAGCAATTGCAATTTTCAAAGAAGAATCTGTTTTCAATCACAGACCATATTCTACTTGAATGAAACAAAACTTTTAAATGGCTCCATTCATTTTGGGTCAAAGTTAGTTTGCTATTTGTTAGTTACAAAAAAAAGGAAAATATACTTTTCATGGCACATACATATTCAAATAAGTACATATATGCTAAATTAAAAGATTAAGCCCTTGTAATATGCTGAGGATGTAAAATTTAATTAAATAAAACAAACAGAAAAAGAACTGCAAAAGAACTTTTATTTTGTGAAAGGCAGAAATCACTCTTCAAATCTCCAAATTAAATTGCATTCTATTTAAATAAAGTGTGGATAAACTCACATTTGAAGGATTCTGTACATCTTTATTGCATTTAAAACCATGGAATTTATTTAATTATGGTATCTTATTTTCTCAGAAAGTGTTATATACAGTATTCTGTTTTTTGAAATAAAAATGTTAACCACCCAGATAAGTGTCATTCTTTGCTGCCATTTTGTCCATAAATGAACTCTTCAAGCAGTTGACAGTCAATGTATTGTGGTGAACATCCACTAGGAGTACTAGGCCAGCAACCCTGTCTTTCATCAGGGAGGATGGAGTCTGGGTGTTTGGGGACTCAGTTCTGTGGTACGAATCAGACCATGTTATTTTGTGGTACTTTGACTCCAGGTTGCTGCTCTAAACATTATTCCAGCAATTTCAGAGATTCCAAGAACACTAGTAAACTGGATGATAGAATTGTGGAGACTGAAAGGGAAGGGAGTCTGTAAGGACTTATGCTGAATTTTCTAGATGAAACTGATTTCTGACTTTATTTTGTATAACAGATTTCAACAAATATTTAATGGGCACTGACTAGGTACAAGATATTTTACATAGGTGCTACAGTAATTTTAAAAAAATTAAGTGACATATCTCTTTTATAAAAGTCTTTCTATACATTGGGATTGTTAAGTAAATGAATAACCATATTACCTGATAAGGCAAGGTAAGAACCAAGGCAAGCAAAATGTAGTACATATTCGAATGAGGAAAGATGATATGGTTGGAGAGATTCACAAATGCCTCTAGAGAAGATAAATCTGCAAAGGGCTTTTTGGAGTAGCTAGAATTTTACCTGGAGAAAGCAGCAGAAAGAAGGAACTCTCGAATAAGAGAAGGTGATTGAGGACATGGGGATAGAAATCAAGTCCTGGATGCTTCATTGCCTCATTTCATAAAAATGTTACAAAGTTTATAAATTACGTATTTGGATAGTGGTTCTACTTGAAATTATTAGGAAAAAAAGGAGCAAGAAACAAGGAAGAAAAAGGCCAGGAAAAATATAAAGAATGGAGGTAATGAGGGAGCCAGAGAATAGAGGCAAACCTCCAATTTAGGATTAAGTGGCTGTAAGAATTAATTTGCACTCATGAAGAGAGAAAAAAATAAACAATTCCCAGATATTCTGACTTAAAAAGCCTCAAAGCAATATCTGGCCATAGTAAATTTTCAGGGAGTTTTGATTACAAATATTTTAATAATGTAAGTAATGTTGTAAAACACTCTGAAGCTTACAGAACACTAGGGTAATAGAGAATGCTAATTGTAAAATGTGTTGATGCTAAATATATAAAAATATACATATAAAATAATATATGTTTAAAATTTGTAATAAAGTAATAGAAAATTGTGTAATAGAAAGAATACTCTAACATCTTACAAATGGAGGTAGAATCACTAATGGGTACAACGACAGACTCTCTTACTCAATCCTATAAAACACGCATTCCTTGAGGTCAGTTGATCTCAGAAAAAGACATTGCTGATTAAAATTGTGTTAATAATAATACTAATGTTTTTAGGGACTTTATAGCATATTGTTGAAACAAAATATATTTGTGCTAAAAGAAGACTATTGAGAGTGTATATTTACATTATTTTTCCTAC